TTTAGGCACAGGTTTCAAATCAACCAAGTGCTACACACATCCAGGTTTCTACAAAACTGCCCTGCAGCCCTCCATCCAGCATGCTATGGCCCGGTCACACCCACATCCAGACCTGTGTTGGTCCAGGTCTTGTTCCAAAGCCACCCAACGGCCCACGTGAAGGACAAATCCAGAAAACGGCAACTAAGCGTCTAATCAAGTAAGTCCAGTCTTGCAGGTGAATCATTTATTTCCACAGTTGTGTGAATCAAGCCGTGACTGTAAAGAAAAGCCCCTGTGTAATTTATAACGCATTAAATGCAGTGGAGTGGCTTTCATTGGCCCCAGATTGTGGAAGGAGACAGGGTTCATGAGATCCATGAGTTCAAGAGGACACAGCTAATGCTAATGAGAGTTTGAATATGTGTGTAGTGGACTGCTCCCAGTCTTTTGGCTGCGGGTTGTATCTGCCTGTTCAGTAAACAACCTCATCATAGGCCTGATTTCTGCCTGAACTGTAAACAGAGCGTGGTTCAGTGGAAGGGCCTGGACTCCGGGCTCCATTTAAATCCTGTTTGGTTTGGAGATAAGGTGAAGAGTACAGAAGGGGAAAAAAAAAGGGGAACGCGGTGAAACTGGGCTCAACTACCAGCTATTTCCCTCACTTATTTTATGACCGTAATACTTGCAACATCTGTCCAAATTACACAACAACGGCGAGCCTTCGGGATCAAGCCCTAATGTTTAAAGCGCGATGTTATAGTCGGCGAAGGGCTTTTAAGATTTGTTAAAAAATGTATATTTTTATTTTAATAAATTGTCCAAAAACTCTGGCAGTGCATTTTCTTTGTGACTTCATTCATTCACTGCACTTTCTGCAGGTCTGATGACACTGCACTGCTCTGCTGACTTGTTGCATTCACCAAACAATACAGTCCTGGGCAGCAAAGAGTTAAGAAGGCAGAAGTGAGACGTATGAGTTATATAGGATAGTGAGCCGATAGGTGTCATGTTTGCTCGCGCGCGTGTGTGTGTGTGTGTGTGTGTGTGTGTGTGTGTGTGTGTGTGTGTGTGTGTGTGTGTGTGTGTGGAAG